ATAATTTCTAAGATAAAAATGTTTCACCTAAGATAGTTTCTTGGAAAAAACCTTAAAACATCTAACTTGCTAGGTTTCCCATTAAACCTTTGGAAGTTCCAGCTGAGTGCTTTTGCGAAATCTCCATTAGAAACAAAATCCATTATTTCCAGATAGAAAAAGTTCCAGAAGGACTCCATGGATATCTGTTGCCATTTTGTCACAAAAGTTGACATATTTGCAGATTAACTGCAGTCTTTTTTTCCTTTTATTATTTTTTTATTTACCACTATATAAACAAGGATAACTGCAATCTTGAGTCTGGAAGTCAACTCCATAAACCTTAAAGTAAAAAATTAGAAAAATGCATACCATGTGATTTGGCATGTTCTGGTAGGAAAATGAAATTTAAAGTGATTTTCTTACATTTTTATCAGTACAAATTTTGGTGATTGAAAAATTTCAATCCAGTTCTTTTTATGTTTATTTTGACTTGATTTATTTAGGAACTAGAACCTCAGGTTGGTGAACAGTTGCTCCAGCTTTGGGAACGCCTTCCGCTGGGAGAAAAAGCCACAACTGATTGACACTCAGGTTATACCATACTTTACTTTGAATACTGGTAGTATTTGTGATCATTAGTATAATATTCAGATTGTTTATCTTATCTTTTCTTCTTCTTTTTTAATCCTACAGAACTCTTAGCAGCAAAAAAAATCATGCCTGTTTATAACCACTGAATGCACTGACTTCCAAAAACAGAGATGGGTTGTGTGTTATACTTGGGCTTTTCTGCTTTAGAGTGTTGCTTCAGAACCACCATCTTCACAAACAAGAAAAAAGGATCATTTAAATTTATATACTGATCATAAGGAATGATTATGTAATGTTTGTAATGAATACAATAGTAGTAGTTTCATTATTTGACACAGTAGCAGTTATTTTAAACAAACAATTTGAAGTTAAACATTTCAGTTCTTTAAAACATTGAATAGCCAAGCCCAGCATGGTAGTGTGCACCTATAGTCCTGGCTACTCCAGAAACTGAGGTGGGAGGATTGCTTGACCCCAGGAATTTGAGTCCAGCCTGGGCAACATAGCCAGACCCTGTGTCTAAACAAAACAAACAAAACAAAACAAAACAATCCCACTGAATTACAACTTTTATTGATGACTTTTTAATGTACACTAAATTGTTTAAGAAAGGCCTGAATAACCTCTGAGCACGATTTTAAAAGAGTCAACGCTTAAGATTTACCATTAAAAAACAAACACAACCAACCAAATTCTAAAAATGTCCCTTTTAAACAGCGTATGCTTATTAATGGCTATTCATTCTGCCATTTTTAACCTGAGATACATTAAGAAAAACGGAGGGATGTTCTTTTTCTGTGATTATGAAATACAGTATAAAATCTGAAGAAAGGCAAAGAATTCCTCCCTGCCTTTGATCAGATCAGATTAAGTGCTTAGTTTTATTCCTCCTTCTGCCTCTTAACCTGATGTGTACCATACCCCTTCCTCCCATGTAACAACCTTCATACATCTATTGTTTGTGCACAGTGATTGTGACCTCTTTGTTTTAGCTAGAGAAATTTGATTTAGACAGGTTAAAATTTAAACAAGTTTATGTAAGTTTAAAAAAATGCTCAATAGTTACTGGTAGGTTGGTTGCTGCATGCCTTCCAAACTAAAGCCCACAAGTACTACAGTTCTAAATGCCTTCTTCATTTTCAGGTGGTATGTTTTCTCTGACTTATGTTTTCAGATATGATTTTCCTTTTTTTGAATATATGGTTTAATAAATGGGGGATGGTTTTTTTTGTAAACCTGTGCTAGTGCCAAGTCTAATATTTCTTTGCCATCTCAGAAATATTTGGTTTGCTCTCTTTACCACCACTGTCTATGAAGTTTCCTTAGGGACTTTTTGAAGGGAAAATAGTACAAGGAAAATGCAAGAAATGTCTTGGTTACTGAGTTCTAAATAGAACAGGTTTGATAGCATTTTTCATGATACATTTCAGTTATTGTTATTTAAAAAAACTCAAACGTGAGTCTACATTAAACACAAAAAAAAGCCCTCTAAGTCCTCTGGTTCTATATTTGAGAACAAAGAAGTGAAAAATCATGGGTCAGCATAAAATCTTGAGAACGCTTCCACTTTCTCTGGGAAAACATTATACAGTATATTGGTGCATTAGTCTAGAATGTCAGGTGTGTTTTTTTCCTGTATTTGTAGTTATTAATTTTTTTTGTACTTTGAGATGTACCTGTAAATTGAGCCTATGTGAATTATGTTCCATTGTATGTGTATTATAGTTCTTTTTCTATTAGAGCAACTTGTGTTTTCCTGATAATGTATACATTTTTTAGGTATGTATGTAGTAGTTCACAGTGTTCTAAATTTGGAAAGTCTTTTAAAAAATAAAACTTATTTTATTTTCCATCTGTTTTGTAATATCTAGCCCTGTTTGTAAATGATGGGTTTGTCGATATTTAAAATGAATATAATTTGAATGTAATTAAAATACTGTTTTTGGAAGAGATAAACATTAAATGTACTTATTAAATGAAATTATA